CTTGTGAAACAAAGCTCGCTTGCAGGACACCTTTCGCTTGCTCCTCAGAGCTAGCACTGCCACCCTTCATATTTTAAATAACCCCTGCATTCTAGATGAGGCACCCAGCGTGGTGTCGTGGACAGAGTGACAGGCCAGAAAAGTCTTTACCCACCAGCAGACGAACAAGAAATACTTATTTATTTGTTTGTTTAAACTATTTTTATCCCACTTTCTCCTTTAAAAAACCCCAAGGTAGCCCCAACCATGCCTCTGTAAGACCAATAAATAATCAGTTTATTATTATGAATGAAGTCCATGCCCGAACTTGCCCACCCTCCATTCCAACATTGGTGTTTTTATAAAGAGCCCAACTGGTCCAGGAGAAAAAAATGTGTTACACAAAGGACCACTATCTTCCTATCCTTTCAGCAGCTATCAGAATGATTAAAGCTATTTTAATAGCTATGGTGTTAAACCTCTACTGATGGGGAAATGGTGGACCTGGATTTTCTGGCTGCAGGTTTCCCTCCCTGAACCTGCAAGGAGTAGGTTTTTTAAAAAGGAGCCACTTAGTTACAGCCTTAATATTAATGAAGAGAGTGAAGAGGTTGCCTCTCTCAACAAAGCACGAGGGTCAGTGGCAGAGCCGTCCCACCCCATGCCACTCATCACTGCCTAGCTGACTGCTGGCTCTGTCATCTTTTCTCAAATCATTGCCTGCCTCCACAGCACAGCCACTTCGTAGTCAGCTGTCTGGATAATGCCAGGCTCCAGAGGTCCTCAGGGCCAAGACTTTGCAAGCTTTCCTCCATGTGAGGAAAGGCGATGCAGCTGATGCTGCCACGGTCCTCTTCTTCCTCCCCCCCCATAAGTGTTGTCATGTGGGAGCTAGGGGACATGGGCAGTAAAGTCTTTCTCTCCCCCCCATTTTGCGCACTGGGGGACTTTGTGACAAGGGTTCAGAGAGGCCCATACTAACCACTCAGACACACTACCCTGTCTGTCATCATGTGGGTGAAACCGAGAGGATCAAATGTGCATCAGCTGAGATCTTCCTGCCTGACACCCTCTCAACACCTGATTAAGCAGTGCTTCCAGGGATTTCCCAAAATCCACAAGGTTAAGCACTTTTACTCTTACAACTACCCTGCAAAGTAGGAATGCCACCATACCCACAAAACATACAGACTCCTGGCAGAAGGTAAGGCTTAGTTTTAAGTATCACCAAAGCAAAGCAAAGCGTGCTGCTTATATAGCACCCCATAGCGCTTCAAGCACTCTCTGGGCAGTTTACAAGTTAGTTATGCAGGCTACACATGCCCCCCCCCCCAGCGAGCTGGGTACTCATTTTACCGACCTCGGAAGGATAGAAGGCTGAGTTAACCTTGAGCCGGCTACCTGGGATTGAACCCCAGGTCGTGAGCAGAGTTTTAGCTGCAGTACAGCAGTTTAACCACTGTGCCATGAGGCCTCTCAATCCACAAAATTTGTAGCAAATGAGCATAGCATTCCCCTAAGAGATAACTGAGTCAGCTAAAGTAACTTCTCTCCCCGTTTTATACCCAAACATTTAGCTTCCGGACTTTTCCAGATAATCTTCTGATCAGGCATTGAGTTTCCCCAAACTTTCATGAAGAAGATGGTAATTTCATTACCCTCATCTCATTCAGCTGAAATCAATTTACTAATTAGCTTAGTACCAAGGAATGAGCCCAGTTCGGCCTTGAAGCTGTCTCTCACAGCATAAGTCACAGTTGTAACTGCCTTCCAGTTACCGGTGGGCATCCCACCACTTCTCTCAGCCTGCTCATCCCAGGTACCAATGACAAAGCCTACTTTCTCCAGGACAGCAAGAGTCCATGATCCTTCATTTTCCCAATCTCTTGACACATTGCACTGTCACAGCTTAAGATTAATAAGAGAATGATATGAACTTTAATTTCTCTCTCTCTATTTATTATGCAGTCACAGACCCAGCTTAACTTGATTTTTTTCTCTCAAGATGCCCCTTAAAATACCCTTTGAAAGTAACTAAAAAGCTTTACTCATTGCCTGCAAATGATAACTTTCAGTCTACTTGTTGAAGTTCTTATGAAATGTGACATTGTATACCTCACTGTTCCCAAAAGTAACTAACTAAATGCCTTATAACTAGTTACTTCAAAGTTTTTAACTGCAATAGAACATTCAGTACCTTCTATCTTCTTCCTGCCATCCATGAGTTCCGCCTACTATTTCAGAAGCACTGCTTCGTTCTTCTTTTCTTTTTTGTTCTGTGAATTTGCCCAAGAGAATATTATTAACACAGGAATATTATTAGTAATTATAAGGGAATAATCTTTATCCATGACCTTTCCACCACATCATCCTTTAAATCTCTTCAGCAGAATTTGACGCCTTGTGCATAAATTACAAGACTGGAAGAAGTCTTGTTTTACCTGTAGAACATGAGCAATGTGTTAATTTTAAATTGTGTATGCATTGTGCATTAGAGAGTGAGAGAAAAAAAACAAACACTATAAAAATCAGTTTGCAGAAAGACTCTTGCAATTTATCCTTTCTTTTATTTTAAATGAATTGTTAACCATGTTTTGGAAAGACATTAAATCCTCCCCTATTCCATTAATCTATGGGCGGGTGGGGGAGAGATGAAAGATTTTAAATGGCCTCTTATTATATTGCTTTGTAAAACTGCTGATACTGGCATTTTGCAATACCAGGGTAGAAATTCGTACCAGTGTAAGAAGCAGAGAATATAGTGGCTGAAGGTTCTGCATTTGTTGAGCAGGAATACAGCTTCCTCTGAAAAAGATTCTTGGTACTTAAAGAGACAGTATCGCCCTGGCTTTTTGGTTTGAGCTGCCCACCCACTTGCTGAATGATGGTTTCTTTTCTCAAATGAAAATTTGGCCCTCAAACCCCATTAGTAACACAACAGTCAAAGCCAAAGTGGAAATCCAGGAGTATGTTGCTTAAAACGGTATCAGCTTCATGGCCCCTGCTTAGAGCCATCAACAGGCATACTTTTTTGTTTCAGAAAAAGTGCAGTAGGCCTTACTGTTATGTGTATGAGCCCTGGGTCCATGCATCCCTCCTCTGTCTCTCTCCCAGTGTGATTACAAAGAGTTCAGAAACTTTAGCTTCCGTTTTTGGCTAATAATGTTCTTGAACTGAACCTGGAACCTATGGTAGATTTTAACAATGATTTACAGCAGTTTTCCCCAGTCTGGTCCCTTTTAGAACCCCAGCCCCAAGCTATTTGTGCACTTTGGAGTGACCCTGGTGTAGAGTCCAGAGGAATTAATGAGGCTGGGTGGCACACCAGGAGTTCTGTTGCATTAAATCTTTCATCTCTCATGGTTAAAAGTGTGTGTGTGTGGGGGTGTCAAAAAAGCTCTGAGTTGGTGGTGAAGGAGAAGGAGGGTATGTTCTTTATTTTAATAGTAAACCTTTCCTTGCTTTTCCTGACTCAATCCTCCATACTGTGTGTGTTTTCCACACTTCTCTGAAAGCAGTTCTTACTGTGACTGCAGCACCACTAGTTTCAGATCCAGGGGGAAAAGAAGTAAGGGGGAGAGAAAAGAGAAGATGTGGAGAAGTACAGGATTGCCAGTTTTTCAAAACTCCACCCCAGTTCCTGTTCAGAAAGAAAGGTTGCAGATAGCGCTGGGGCAGAAACAGGAAGCTTGAGCAGGGCTTGGCCTAACTAAACCTCTGAGCCCTCCAATTGAGGTCTTTCTCCCAGGTGAGCCACATTAACAGGTGTGTAAGAGGTCTTCCTGTTAGATCAAGCTCCCAGGATGGAGAATTACAGAGTTTAGAGTTCAAAAAATCTGAAAATTCCATCCCTGCCTTTGAATCAAGATAGTAGCCCATTTTGTTATCCTTTTATGCAGTATTGCTCTGGATTCCTCTAAAAAAATTGACTGAGAAATATTGGACAGCTTCCCCCAACCTGGTTCCCTCCAGATGTGTCATAGCCCAACAGTGCATTCCTGTCCTCCTGTCTGTGCTGCCTGGGGCCGGTGGTAATAGTAGTGTATTACATCCATTACAGGGAATCAGGTTGAGGAAAGCTGATACAGGAGATTTTTTTTCCATTTTGTTTCCTTCTTCCAAATGCATTCATGGCACTTCTAGTTGCTGCTCTCAAAGGAGATGGCAGTGATGAACATAAGCCCTCTTTTGGTCTCATTTTTTTTTAAAAAAAATATTAATAGTTGTAAGATTGAATGTGGATTTCTCTTGAGCCTCAGCACTACGTCTTTGTTGATTTTGACATGCTGGAGCATCATTTGTTCTCTGATTATCATTTTCAGAAACACTGTCAGTATAACTGGGTTGACTAATTGATCTTCATCTCTCATCATGCTGTTTTCTACAGCTGCCTGGAAAAGTTCCAGATGGGACTTCGCACCATCTCCAGTTTGAAGGCATAGAAAGACAGTATGCTTCCTTACCCAGGTAAGATGTATTTTAAATTTACAAGCCCATACTCTCTTATAGGTACAAGTATGTACGCATGCACTCCCTCCATAGACACAGAGGGAATCTCCCCCCCCCCCCGGTGGCATCACACTGTTTAGCAAAATCTGCATCGAACAGACATCTGGCAATGAAACGAGAGATTATGTTGCAATTTTGTCATGCTGCCCTTCTGCTGATGATTTAGTGCCATCTTTATAGCTGTGTTAATAATTTAGACAGCCAATTTTTGTGGTGGGGAAGAGTGAAGTCTCTTTCAATGAACATGTCAGCAAGAGTCATGATCTGCTGGGAGAGGAACATGACATTGAGGAAAGCTTATTCTAGGAGAGTTATAGCGGGGTCTTAGCAGGGCCTCACTGAAACAGAGACTGTGGGTGATAAAAATCATAGCGAGCAATGACAGAACCCTGCTGTGAGGAGCTCCCAGTGCACCAGTCACACAGCTCAGTTCGTGGCTCCAGAGCAACTTGAAGGAAATTCGATTCTCACAACTTTACAGCAATGCGCTGAGGCTGCAATCTTATACCTACACATTTGGGAGGAACTCCCACGGAATGCAAGAAGCGCCGTTTTTGAGTAAACCTGCATAGGATTCTGAACTTGGAAAATGTGATTCCGAAGTCGTCAAAAGGTGATGTTTCAAAGCCCTGCTGAGATGTAGTCCAGTGGCCAAATACAGCTGGAAGTGAGAAGAACAGTTAGAACCTCCCTTCTTCCTATCATTCCCAAACTTTTTCCCCCTTGGGGTGGGGCTGACACCCTAATAGCTTATTGACTGTCAGTTTTGGCCCTATCGTCCCAGCCAGCAAAATGGAAATCTGCCACTTTGCTGGTGGAGATGGACTGCTAATACAGTACTGTTGTCCCCTTTCCATCTTCAGGTTGTCACTCTTTTCTACAGGCTGTCTATTGATGTCTGCCTCTGAGGAATAACAGTAGCAATCTCTCCACATTCCTGCCAGCGTCCTTGGAATTATGTTAGATGCAACACCATTACTCATTATTTTTCAGACCGCAAGTAACAACATTGTTACTTCTATTGTTAAAATGGAAACAACCTTACATTTTTTAGATCTATTGAATAACATTTCTCACTAAATTTGGAAGGCATTTTTTGCCTTTTTAAATATTTTTAAAAACTTTTAGAAGTCACTTGTTAGTAACAAGGGTAGTGTGTTATTTTCATAATTGTTTTTAGAACAGTGACATCCGTGAAGTTTTGTTTTTTAAGTAACAGCAATACTGTACCTTCCTTTTAAAACAACATTTTGAGCTTCTGCCTTGATCCAGCCTGTTAGCTTGGTAACAGCATGGCTGCAAGAGGAAGGGTCGCTCCAGGCAACACATACAAGGAAACGGTTTGATCAGTCCTTAAAATTTCGGCTGCTCCCCACTGCCCCCAGAAGAAAATTGACTAGAGCAGCCTGCAGAATGGTTGTTTCAGATGAACAGTCTAATCTGATCTAATCACTTGTGCTGCACAGGTACAAATTACATTTCTTCTTTTTTAAAAAAAAGTTGTGTGACTGTTCGATCTTTTCACAAACTTAAAAAATTACTTTCAAAAATGTTCTGGACACAGGGAACATTACTGATGGCAGGCACCTGCTGGACGGTTTCTGTGACTGTCATGCAGCAAACAAACCTACCTTCTTGTTCTTATTAATTTTATTAAAAATGGATAAACTATGACCTCTACACTTCAAACCATGCACATTACCCTTTACTTTCTCCTTTTCTGCCCTTAACTAGGCTTTCTTTCCTATTATCCACAGTATATCTAGTCTCAGTTTTGAGCAGGTGTTTCAGCTTCTCTGAAGTCAAAGTGTCCCCAGAAGACCTTCAAACTGGTTTCAAATCCTGCAGAGGATCATAGAGATGGGAGACACCCAATGGCCTTTGGTACTCTAGAAATACACGCTCTAGAATATCCCTTCCATTTCCAAATTTTTAAAAAGCTGTTGTAAACATACAACCGTGCTCACACAGCGTAATTAAATAAAAATCCTGGAAACAGGCCATTAGTAGCAATTTTCTATCACTTACTGTCTTCCTTCACTTTTCCCTGCAACCAATTTCTCATGCCTATGTTGGCAAGAAGGCAGGCATTCCTGTTCTAGAAACCTTGAGACAGAAAATATATATTTTTTCCTAGGAACCAGTGAGGCATCACAACACAAAAAGGCTCTTAGGAATTGTGTCAGAATGTCAGACTTCAGTACAGTGTGAGGGTTTGGTGCAGTGTTGGGAAGGAAACTAAGGATAGAGAGAAAAGAAATATTAAATATTTGCCTGTTAAAGCAAGCAAGTTGATCCAGGAACAAGATGGTAAAAAGAGGGACAGTAAGATGGATTTTTAACCCAGTATAATATTCCTCATGGTGTTGAAGGACCCTGCAGTTTTGTATCTAAAGAAGCCCGACAAGAGTTAAGCACAATTTCTAGATATGGTATGATATCAATGTTTTCATGTTTTTCTGAAAGTGTTGTTTTTAGACAGCCATCTTGTTTTTATATCACGTCCATGCCGCATACAACCTACTATCCCCTCGCAAACTACTACCTGGACTACACTGCACTCATAGTGGTACTTTCTTCCACATATCATCCTGGGTAGCTGGAAATACCTGATAAATCAGGCATAGGAATGCAGGAAGCCATCCTCTGCCAGACGTATTTGCCCATCAAACTCACTTTTGCCTTATCCTGTATCACAGCTGATTCTGCACTCTGCCTTTTGTATACAGGAGGCAGAGACCGGTAAGAACCCTCCAAGGCCCCTTGCCTTCCTGGAATTGGGTTTAAATTCTCCAACAAACAGGCTTACTCTGCTCTTCCTTTGTGTGCTGCTAAAACACAAATCAGATTCCACCTTTAGAACCCCGCGGGATGTCTTTCTGATTTCTTCACTGTATATCCACCCTCTTTCTTTGAACTCAGCTCTAGCTCCAGAACGTGGGTTCCCTTGGTAGTTGACTCTCCTATTTTAACTATATACACATAGAGCTTTCCCCCCCCCAACATGGAATCTTCAACATAGCCTTAAAATATAATACTGTATTAAAAGGGAAGGAAATACATTTGATATAAAATTGCTGGATTTTCCAGGCAACTATAGAATGTAAACCGCCCCATCCCCCACAGCAACTTTGGGGATTTTACATTCTATAGTTCTTGGGAGTCATGTTAAAAAAAATGAGAATACATTGTTTTGGGACCAGTGGAATCCCAAAACAATTAAAACAATTAAAGATAACCTAGCCATCTTTAAGCAGACATCCTAATATACTCCTATCACTGAATTGCACTGTTCACCCTTTTGCTGAAGCAAAGACAGCTTCTGGTGCACAGAGGCAGCCTGGCCCCATGGCTGGAACCTGCAGCTCCAGCAACACGCAGCAACCGTTCCTTCTCCCATAAGCCAGCAATGAAGATAAAATATATTTCCTTTATTTTCAGGTTCCCTTGGATTCTGACCATTCACTTTATGCTGCCTTTCTGTGATAGTTCTCTGTAACATGTTGTTAAGACCACAGACACAACATACGTGGCCTTAACCCATTACAGCTTTCATAACTGGCCAGCCAGTTACATTGTGCAACCATACCATGTTATTCCTTCCTCCTGTCTTATTACACCTTGAGTAAAAGCAGCTTTCCAGGTCTTAGGCTTTTTCCGTTCCCTGCTGCCTGATTCTTTTAAATGGAGGTTCCAGAGGTGGAACCTGGTACCGTTCGCGAGCAAAGAAGGGGTGTAGTCATCATCCTGAACGACGGTCCCATTTTCCCTACACAAGCCATACAATGCTTAATGCTTTCTTGTTCAAGTAAGGAATCTTTGATTTTTATGTGTAGACATACATTCAACTGCTACACCCAACCCAAGTAGACCCATTGAGCCAACAGTTGAACTTTGAGTCCAAACCTTATATAACCCCATTGATTCAATGAACCTGGTCTCACTGGGTTGCGATTCAAGCCATGATGCCCAATTAATTCTGCATTTGCTTTCCCTGGTAACAGGATATGTGTTGCCTTTGCAAATATTGCCATTTTTTATTTTGGCCAAGTCAGAGCATGTTGTTAAAAGTTACTCTTCCATTTTCAAAGGCTAGTAAAAATCTTTACATGCATTATAATAAATCTCCAAAGTCTTCTATCAGCATTCACATGTGCATATCGGTTAACATGTGAATTTCTTAATTGTCAACTTATAAGTTAACATTGACAGCTATCTATCAGTGTGTGACTGTCAGCATTCAGGGGTGTATATTTCAAGTGTGAGAATTGGGATTGCATGTTCAGACACTTGCAAATTTCTTATGGGGTTTTCCATCTTCACCAAATTTTAGACATTTATTATCTAAAATTTAATTTAATTTATTACTTTCACTTTTATACCACCTGATTAGAGCAAGGCACTACTCTGAACAGTTGACAATAATAAAACAAATACACTTGTAAACGGTAAGGGAAGTAATAATAATAATAATAAAATAAGAGTGGCAAAATGGATAAGACAGCATAATCAACACACCAAGGACAGCAGGAATGATTAAACAGGAGGGTGGTTTTGAGAGATTCATTAGAGTTTGGTAATAAAGGCTTCTTTAAGGAGCATAATTTTAAATTTAAAAAACTAAAATGAGCCTTGCGGCATCTTAAAAGATAATAAGCTTCACTTGGTGTAAGCTATTATGCACCCGAGCCCACTCCATACATATGATGAAGTAGGTTCCAGTTGACGGAAGCTTATACAAAATACAGTATGTTGGTCTTTCAGATGCCACGGCATTCTTGCAGCAGACTAACATAGCCATGCTCCTTTGACGTACTTTTAAAAAATATATTTACTCCTAGTTCTGCAGCAGGGTGCCTCCATAATAAAACAGACCCAGAACTTAGACGTGCTTTTTTCAAATCTCATGAATTAGCATTACTGTATAAAAATGCAGTTGATTGTCCCTTGTTTCATTGGTAACACGTTAGTTGTGCTTTAAATTACTGTTTTGTTTTGTTTTTTTAAAAAATCTATTTAAAGTACTAAAAATGGGAAGGGAAAATCCCCAACATTACCCCCAAATAATGTTTGAAAGTGGGAAGTGATATGAGTCTCACTCAAAAGTTATTGTTGTCATCGTTACAACACTTAAAAGTAATCCCATGGACATTTGTTGAGTTACGTCCAGACTCTAGGCAGGGGCTCTCGTGTTTCACTCCAAGCAAATTCTCCACCGTGCCATTAGCTGTCCCATCCAATTCCTCGGCACAGAATACTCAAGGCTCATTCCAGAAGGGAAACAAATGTTTTCATTTGGCAGAAGGTTTCCATCTCCTGTGGAGCAGAGCCTACGCTTCTGAAGAGAAGAGATCAGTCCATCGGTTTTAGTGCCTCTTCCTGGTTCCTTCACAAATGCAGATTTTTTTTCCTACCTCAAGGCAGGTGGGGTCTGATTCTTGATAGTATGGTCTGTTTCCTTGATCAGCATTACAAAATCAGCACTCTTTCACTATCCTGAGTGGGGTCTGCTGAATGGCTTTGAGGGTATGCCACGTTCCCATACTTTCCAGCCTGCTGACATATTTTACAGGAAAGGGTCGAGCCCTTAAGGTGCTTTGTCACTGTTATGGCGAAACACTGCAGCCTCTCAACTGAGCAACCTAATTGTACCCACTTTCTCACATAGACACCATTTTGAACACTGGACACTCAAGATTGTTTATTCGTGGGGTATTGTTTTAAAAAAAAGAGCTGAAATGACAGTGTGGAAGGTTATTTTGGTTGTGTATGTAATTCAGAAGTACTTCAGTTGTTAGTTTTACTTCCCATTCTGTTTCTTGGACTTGCTGTCACGTGCTTTAAGCGTAATTCTTTCTTCTAAAGCCTAAGGCTTATATTAAACAGCAGTAAGACTATCTGACTGAATTTATTGGATCTTTCTTATGAGAAACGTTTTCTCAGGCTTTAACATTCTTTAAATGTGGATTTGAATGGTTAAATGACACACTCTTGTTTAAAGGGGATTTTACATTTGAAGCAATCTCTTTCATTCACATCTGTGACTAATGTGGGCCATAAATTGCTAATTTAATATCAGAAGAACTCCCTTTCTTCAAAGCACAGTTGGCTCCCCACAGTCTTCCTCTCTGCCTCAGGTAATGGGACATTTTCAATAACCATTTTAATCGTTAAAAATTCTTGTCTAGCAACTGTCCATTTGAGCAGCAAGCTCCCTTGGCTAATTAAATATTGTAAACAACTTTCTTCATTTTGAACTTCCATAAAAGAGCAGCTGAAAGCAGTGACCAATATGCCCGTCTGCCCCAACCTTTCCTTCCGTCCTTTTATTGCATCCTCCTGTATTCATTTCCTCTCCCTGCTTAATAGGATCTGTTCCATTCCATCTCTCCCTTCAGGCCCAAGTCTTTCCTAGTCCTGCAGCCACTGCTGTCTTCCCTCTCATCTCTGAAGATGCTCTATTTCTTTTACATATGCTCTGTAGTAGATCATTGGAACTGAATATAGTACCCAGCTGTGCTTGTACTATTGATTGATGTGATGTTGGAGGCTTTTCAATATTATTTTCCATTTAGTCCTTCCTCATCCTAACGTCTTGTTTATTACTTTGACTGCAGCTTCTGCTGGGCATTTGGAATGAACTGTTCACATGAATGCAAACCTGTTCTTTCCTAATCAGTGTTCAGATCAGGCCATGAACCTCATCATCCATTTTACAGTGGGGTCTTGACTTGAGAACTTAATCCGTATTGGAAGGTGGTTCTCAAGTCAAAAAGTTCTCAGGTCAAATCTGCATTTCCCATAGGAATGCATTGAGAACCATTTGATCCGTATCTGCTCTTTTCCGTCCATGAAAACTAATGGGAAGCTGCTATTCTGCCTTCGACCACTGGAGGGGGATATTTTGTTTCTTTTTTTCTTAGGTCAAGAAAGGTTCAGGGAAGGCAGGGAAAATACAGTCCAGGCAGTACCAGGCAGTCCGAAGACTGTCTCCCAATCCACTCTCTAAACGCTGGGAGGAGTGAGGAAGCAGACAGGCACCCTTTTCACTGGCCAACAGTTAACTGAAAGTTCAAATTTTGCACTTTCCCTGCCTCCCACGTGGTTTTTTTTCAGTTCTTAACTCAAATCTAAGTATGTAAGTCAAGTCAATATTTTCCTATGAGAGTGGTTCTTAAGTCAAAATGTTCTTAACTCGAGCCGTTCTTAAGTCAAGACCCCACTGTATCTGCATTTGAGATAGGCATTTGGAAAGAATTTATGAATTCATCAAGGTATTCCATAGCAGTCGAATCTATACAGGTAAAAGGGGATTTCACTTGACCCAGGTGTTTGTAACCAGCCGGTCTTCAATTTCTATAACAATGTGCCAAATTCTGTTTATTAAATAAGCAAATCAATATTAGTGTTTTTGTTCTTATTTCTGACTTATATAGGATTTCCTTTTCTACCTGTTGATACTTCACAGAATGTGGAGCTTTAAACTGTTCAACAGTAATAGAAATCTGGAACACTCAAGGCATGTACCCTTCAATGTGGTCTCTAAAAATCACTTAGTAATATTTATTTGTTAATTTAAAATATTTTTACTACTTAAAAAGGATCCAAGGCAGCTTACATTATTAAAAGACAGTATTTAAAAGCTAAAAACATTAAGTATACAAATATTAAAAGGAATCAAACAAATAAAAAATGGTAAACAAAATCAACACCAAAGCAGATTCAAAGCAACAAAGTACAACGATCCATTTGCAAACCACAGGCAATCGGGCACTCAGGGAAAGTTTGCCTGAAGAGAAAGGTCTTCACCTGCTTGTGGAAGGACAGCAAAGATGGGGCCAGGCTGGCCTCCTGTGGGAGGGACTTCCAGAGTCTGGGAGTGGTAGCACAGAAGACCCTCTTCTGCCAAACACACCTGTGAGGGTGGCAGGACCAAGAGAGAGGCCTCTCCTGTCCATCTTAAAACTCGGGCAGGCACATATGCCTTTACGTTCCAATATGAAGGAGAAGTAGACTTCTTTAAAAAAACAACAACGCAGAAATATATTCAATCCAAAGGACTGTCTCAATACCTAAGTCAAATTTTCCTTAGATGTGGGTCTTTCATGCCTTTTCTCAGTTTTTTTCTACTATGTGTTGGGTGTGGGGTGTGGATCAGGACCATGGTGGAATTACAAGACCCCCTCCTCCATGCCCATTTCCCATTCAGGTTTCAGTCATTGTAGGTCGTCTCTACTAGTCCTGAAGACAACCAGGTGACTGCATTGGGCAAGTAATGTACTGTACCTAGAATGTGTTCCTCAGTTCCAAAATGTGTGTTCGGTGCTTACCTGGCAATGACTCTTGAGTGCCTCAGTCTGTTTTCATGTCTAGAATCTCAAGATGGTTAATACCGTCTTAGGCTGTATTTTTGGGCAGTAAATCTACAGTTGTTTCTCATGTGTTACTAAAGCTCTGGACATTTTACCTCACGGTTCCTTTTCTACTGTTGTTATTGTACATAGCAATTGTGTCCATTAACACAATCCCTCTTCTGCCTCTGCCATTTTGTCACCTTTTGCACATGTAGGTGATGGTATAACAATGAAACTGACTAACGAATGGCCCCATACTTTAGAATTAAAGTTTGTGAATATACTTTCACATTTATGCTGGGAGATGTTATCTGTGGCAACCACCTTGTTGGATGCCCTCAATCAAACCCAACACTGAGGGAGGCTTTGACCTGACACAAACCTGTTCCCCATCTAACACCATCCAAGAAGGGCCATTGCTTGGATTTCTCTGCTACTGCATTTTGTGTTATTAAATGAGTCTGCCTTTAACTGGGGCTGGTTACTTGGAGGACTGCGGGCATGTGACAACAATGTGGACATTAGCAAAAATAATGAAATGGGTATGAATTACTGTCAAGAGCCATGCTAGGAAGCAGCAAAAGCTGGAAAGAAAGGCCTTGGTTGACCTCTGAAATGGACAGGAGGGAATCTATGGCTGCTGTCAAAGTTTTTATCTATTTGGCTCTAAAACTGCTTTGAGAGTAGACAGAAAAGATTTCTGAAATATTTCCCAGTTTCAGTTATGTCTATGGGAAAGGTGGGATGTTGTGACCCAGATGTAAACTGCAATGGTGTTGTTCATTCCATTGATTCCTAATTTATGAGGAAGCTGAAAGAAACCCAAATGCCTGCTACACCACAGTACTATGCTTGCCATAGTGTCAGGGTCTTTCTCACTTCACCGGCTAGAATCCTACAAGGTGTTTATTTATATTTATATGTATTATATTTATTTAGATATATGCAAGAGTTGCTACAGAAGTTGTCATGGCTATTAACAAGGTGCCATTCATGTCAGTGGTTTGCCTGATTACTTGTCTGATTATTGGCACATTGTCAATTTGCTGCAGTTAACTGCAACAACTTTTGCAATTCCTTTGAATTGACCTCAATATCCAATAGGATTTTGGGCACTGATGCAGCTGTCTGTGAAAACAGTCTTGTATATGCTGGGGTTTCCAGCATCAAATATGGGAAGTATGCACCCACACTCTTAAGAGCTTTTATTAGTTTGTGGCATGCTCTCAAGCTGCATACATACAACTTTAACCAGGGGCAGCAGCCACAAACATTTCAGATAACATGAATGGCAAAAGTAATACCCACATAAAAGTGATGTGGTCCGCGTTAGTGGTGTAACAAGTGAATCATATTAATTCTGTATTGCTTTTTTTAATAGCAGAGGGGGGAAATCTAATGTTTTAGAGACACATACTTCTTTATTGTAACTAAATCAACAAAAACAAAATAAAATGGAGAGACACATACTTCTTTATTGTAACTAAAACAACAAAAACAAAAAAAGATGGCATATTTTCTCTCTCTCTCTCTCTCTCACACACACACACACACACACACACAGAGAGAGAGAGAGAGAGAGAGAGAGAGAGAGAGAGAGAGAGAGAGAGTTGTGAAGAGGGCAAATGTGCCATGAGGCCACAATGTATACAATTCAGGTATACAATTTTGGGCAAATCCTATACAAAACTGAGATGTGTTACCAAGTAAACAATGATAATTCACAGCAATTTAGCATTCATCAGCAATCACATAATTCTCACAGTTTTGCTTTCAGGATTTAAGAGGTATATTGGGGCGGGGGCAGTGGGTGTGAATACTCTGTATTGGCTGGAGTTCCAAACCAATAGACTCAGACTTGCTGATATTTCAGCAGTTTTGCCTGCAGTTTCCCTCTGATTTTTTCCCTTCCATTCTGGTTTTTTTGTTTTGTTTTGTTTTGCTCTGTTTGTTGAATAATGGCAACTTTAACTCACCATCAGAGTTAATGGAGCAAGGCTTCTAACCCGGCATGACTTCTCTGCTCTTACGGAAAGCTGTAAAAGAAAATAAACAAGAATCAGTTGAATCAATCATGTGAGCCTTTAGAAAAAAAACTAATATTAATCGAAGTTTATGGTCATCGTTTGGCAACCTTTCATGGGAAACTTTCTGCTAAGTCAGGCCTTCCCATGGGCTCAGGAGTGATGGATACCTTTTCTCACACCGGGGTGGTGTTATTTAATCTTTAAAAGGGGAGAGCAGGAATAAAAGCCAAGGATTTGCAGGAAAGATAGAGTTCACCCTCCGTAGTTGCCTCAGGGCTCGAAGGCAAACTACTGCTGAATTGCACTGAGCAATGTTAAGTCTCACTTTGAAAGAACATAGCATGATTCCGGCCAGCCCCAAAGTGCTGCTTTCGCACTGAGACGATGAAGCAAGCTAACTGCAAAATTATTTTGAGCCCTTCCCATGCCATCCCCCGACTTCTATTAGTAATATGCAAATAGCTTTGCATAATTTTAATTCTAAGTACTGTATTTATATTTTATCAATAACATCAGAAAACAGTTTTGAATCCAGTCTTTTTGCCCAGAGACTGAGACTGCTGTTGTTGCTTTTATTTTATTTTATTTTTATTTTTTGCTTCTCCTTTGCACTGTGGTTTCATAGAAGATTCTTTTAATTCAAGGGATAGGTTTAGCCAGGAGCATCTCAAGCCAGTGAAGGGTTGGTGTGTGTGGCTGCAGAAAGTTTCTCCATTTGTAACCAGAAACAGACTTTTAAGCACAAAAGGAGGTCAGTCACTAAGACCTTTAATGATCAATATTAATATGATGCATCTCCTGAGCCTCACCACCTTTCTAGCAAGAAATGCTGATTCTAAAAAAATCAATGTTTCGATTCTTCTTAGTCCTTGTGTTGACTCAAGAACAACACTTCCGTAATATAAAGGACACCAAGGTACAGTAAAACTGAGGTGATTAAAGAGAACATTTTCATGGCACAAAGCAGTTTTGGAACATTGAAGAAAATCAAGGGAAGCCAACAGCAATGTATGGCCACAGCCCCCTCTTTGATCAGCATACCAAAACGGAAATGCAAACTGGAGTTAAGAACAAATATCTAAGCCCTACTCATATATTATGTTTTGGAATTATTCACTCTCTAGCCCCCTTCTCTCCATCCTCCTGCGCTGGCAGTGGGTTGGGACCTTCCCTTTCCAGGTTTCAAGGCTCATGTGGAAGGTGTGCATGCCTAGGGCAGCTCTTAGATTCTTTGCCATCCACATGCAGGAGAGTGATGGAAGTGATGGAGGACAGGGCAGAGTGAGTGGTGAGTGTGGCGGGTACCCAAATTACAATGCCTGAATAGGGTTCTAGACTCTGAAGTTCTTGGTTGGCCATTCAATATGAAAAGTTCAGTGAATGACACAAGAGTCACATTTGCAATATCAGGGGAGAGTTAAACTTGAGACAAAGGAGTCAACACTGTAACACAACTGCTGTGTTTGCAAATATTCAGCCTCCTTTCCAAACCTTGAAATAATGCTTTATGCTCATAATCACCCTGCTTTTTTTTAAAAGATTCATGTCCTTTCTTTTGCATACATGCTGCCCAATGAGTTTCTCCCATGCCACTGTGCAAAATTAATCTTCTCAGGAGGAGGCATTTGTCTTATGGAATCACCTTCCCATTTTGAATATCCTCCATGAGCTTGAAACAAGATGCAGAGTTTCAGTTGCTTTTTTTTTTTCTTTTATCTCATTTCATTTTTCCCCTTTCTTTCTCTAGCAAGGTTACATGCAGATATAGGCTTGGTATAACTACTGCTTGTCTCCATGTTTCATTTCCAGCCTCGAACTGATCATCTATCTTACATATTCCTCAGCAGTATACTACGACAATTGTATTTTATTCTTTTCTTACTGGCCTTGATAAAAAGGTGCATAATAAATTTGTCATTGCTTAGATATTTTGCCCCAATAGATGCTGTGAGATTATGTTCTTTCGCTCACTCGCTCTCCTCCTCCTCCAGTTGATCCTCATGCTGAGAATTGATTTCTGAGTTCCTCTGCTTACTAAACACAAATACCTGGTGGGGTGATACCTAAGATTTTCTCCCTGCCAATATCTGGAGTTATAAAGATTTACCTGTCTCGAAGGGCTACTTGTACCACATTTGTCTTCATTCCTATTTGGTGGGGGGGGAACAGTCACAGATAAGTAACAGGTCACACATTTTCTATGGAAGAAGTCTCAGGTTCAATCCCACTCATCTCTAAATAGAAAACTGTCCTAGATGTATTTATGAAGAGTAGATGTACTATGTATACCTTGTACTTCCATTTTCAAAATGATGAGGAAAACAACTTAAGTATACTAAGAAAAACATGGGGTGTATGTCTCTCTTTTTTTAAAAAAAAAACACCTTTTTTGGACACACAATTAACAGGGTAACGCAAACCAAATACATGGCAGAAGACCTCTCCTGGAGGACTTCTGCAGCCTAGATGCCAACACACAAAAAAGCCATTTCTTCCATGTGTCACCTTATTACACAGTTGGGGGACACATAGCAAAAAAGTACCCCCTCTCCAAAAGAGTTGAGCACGATGACAGCTTCGGAATGGAGAAAGCACACACATTCCTTTATTATCTCAAACCCAAGCTATTTCTAATATTAAAAATGACAACCATCATTTTCAAGTGTCCCCAGAAATGAACTAGAAGCCAGTACAGCTGTTGTAACATCAGACCCGCGCCCTTGCTAGGGAAGTGACTTTCAGAGCACTCCTGTTCTGTAGGCTAGATCCCTTGAGGGTCTCCAAAGGTCTTCCAAACAAAATAGAGTGTTAGTAATCCCATCTAGAACCCACTAAAACATTATAGTGGCCAGATCCAATTCGGCATGGGCAGCAGAATTTCCAGCGGACTCTCCTATTGGATAAGGAGATCAGTTACAAATGAATCAGGATATAGACTTACCTCAACATAGCAGTTTTCAAAATGCAGGATGCCGATGTCAGACCCAAATAAGCCCCACAAGTGTTACTAGCCTGCAGAAATTTAGTCACCTGCAGTGAGCTTGCATCAGAAAGAAGGGGACTTTAGCGCTCAGTTACCAGTGGGTACTCTTTGTTACATCCTATCACATTGCTTTCAAGTTATCTCAGGTCTAATAGAGTTTTGGAAGTACTCTGTTGAAGGGGTAGTTTATCACTGTCACTCCTTAGACATTTTCCATGGCTGAGCAGAAATAGGAACCGGGTCTCCTGAGTCGTAATCCAACGCTGTATCTACTACACCACACTGCTCTCCATGGGAATGCTAGTAATGCTTCAACAGAAGGCTATTTTGTTTTGTGACCTGCAGGATGGTGTGCTGTAGACAGAAACAGGTTTTAGCCCCTCATCACCTTTAAAGAACTAGGTCTTAAGGCAGAACATGAGTGATTATTGCTTAGGGGGGGAAAGACGTGAGAAGCTTTAGTGCCAGAACTGTGCCAAAGTTGATAAAGCTGCAAGTGAACAGTGCACAGTGAGAAACAAGTTGACCCCTGCTTTCAGTTCATTTGGTGGAAATAGTGCTACTAAAAGGCACACTGAGATCAACTGCCACCCTACTACTTAGATGTGCTGAGACTGGAACCGAGAGGCAGCTGCCATCTCCACGTTAGCCTTTGGGCATATGTAGAAACCGTACTAACCCCACTACTACAACTCACCTAGTATACAGTGGTGCCTCGCTAGACGATGATAATCTGTTCCACTGAAATCGCTGTTTAGCAAAATAATTGTCTAGCGAAAAGCATTTCCCCATTGGAATGCATTGAAACCTGTTTAATGCGTCCCAATGGGGAAGAATCATCGTTGTCTAGCAAAGATTGGCCATAGGAAAGCCGCTTTGCGAACCGCCGATCAGCTGTTTAAATAGCTGTCTTACGAAGCTTAGGTCCCGAAGACACCTGTTTTGCAAGTGCGGAGGAAGCTGTCAAAATCGTCGTCTAGCGAAAATCGGTTTGCGAAGCAGGGACCAAACATTGTCCAGCGAAATTCCCCCATAGGAATCAGTTTAGCGAATCGGTATAATGATCGCAAAAGGTCAATGTCTAGCGAAAAAACTGTCATGTGGGGTAAATGTCTAGTGAGGCACCACTGTATTTAAAAACATATGGCTTCCACTCTTGAGAAATATCCAAATGAAAGTGAGACAATTGCTTTGTATTTGTTGGATCCCAGAAACTGACTTTGAGGAATGAGTGCACTTTTTAAATTAACCATAATTATATAAAATGCACCATATTTGAATGCAGTACTTCATAATAAATACAGTACTTCTTTATGAATTACTCTTAAAGAAAGTACTTATCTCCTGATTATCACCTTATCTTTCCTATCTCATAAATTCAGGCAATGAAAGATTTAATGTGAATAACCCTTTAAACTGACAGTGTCACATGTCAGTATCGGAGAAGGTTTTTTGAGGGGGAGGGGAGAATAATAATGATTTTGTCAAAAGTCTCATTATAATTACAAAACTTAAGTCACCAGCATCTTTGTGAAAGGCACAGAAAAGACAACAGCCAAGCAACATAAGGAAAATAAAGGTTGCAGCAAATGATCTAAAGGGCAATGAATTAAGGAAGAAATGCTGGATGTAGTACAGGAGGCAAATGGTGGAGGAAGGGGGAAGGTAAAATTCAAGGGTGGTTTGATTTTTTTTCTCTCCAAATGCTTTTGCTTTAAATCTGCATGCCTCTGACCTGAGTTGCAATGGACGTTGTGTAGGGCTGTAGGAGCTTTGATGCTTGCAAAGGATCTCTCCTTTAGTTGTGCAATGAGGGTGTTGCTTTGCCCAGTCCCCTGCCCACTTACTCCCACCGAAAAGGGAACACTGTGCTCCCCAAGTGCCATTGCGTGCATTCTAGAGCAACATAATTTGGACACAAACCCTGGGAGCAGATCTTGGAAAAGTTACCTTTATGGAGCACAACCCAGAAATTATACCAAGCAGCACAGCCACTCACTTGGCCCATTGTGTACTGTTTTACTTT